AAACCAACAAAATGGTCGCCTTATTCAAATGTACACTATTCAAAGTAGTATTTTGAGGGAAAATAGGGTAATTGGTTCCAACTCAACAGAAATAGGCAATGAAAATTTTTAAATAGAAACTTTGATATGTTTATTTATGAAATACAAAAGTAAATTATTAAGCGTACTTACAACTTCTATTTTTAACAAGTCCCAGATATAGAAATATAGAAATAGATATAATATAGAAATTAAATATCATTCCTATCCATTTTCTATATAGAAAATAGATAGGACATAGATTTGAGAATATTTAAGAAAAAAGTAGGAGCTGGAGGACAAGTGCATATCCGAAGCACATCTGCTGATTCCTGTATTTTGCTCTAGCTTTTCCAAAATAACCCTCTCCTTTTTTAAGCTTTCCTTCAATGGAACCTTCCTTTTCTCGATTTTGCACATATGACAATTAGCATCTAAAATGCCAGCAGCAACTGCACATGAACCAGCTTCAGCTGCATGCACACTACCCTCACACTAACCGAATTTTGCCTCACAAAAGGCAACCTGGTATCAACTTATAATATCCACCAAGTCAAATACCCTACTAATCACAATTCAGCTGCAGTAAGTCTATGGTATACCATCTTTACACTGGAATAATATAGCTATTCCGTAATTTTCCGGAGTGACTCAACTAAAGTGGCTAGGTTTAACCAACAGCAATATAAGAATAAAATCAAGCACAGAGGGGGAAACAGGCCTTTCTCCTGCTGAGTAGACACCATTCATCCCTACAGATGTTACTCAAGTTAAAGCTGAAGCAGCTTGAAGCATTATAAGCACTTAAAGGAGCACTTCCCTGGGAGCTGACAAGTGAATGCACTCCCACTGGACAACTTTAAGCACAGACTTCTAGGGACTTGTGGGGAGCATTCAAGCATTGCAGCTCTTGACAGTTGCTGCTGCCACTCATAATTCCCAGAAAGCAAAGATATGAAGTAGCATAAGCTGAATGGTATTTCATCCGAAAGCAGGCTAAGCACTCCACTCACATTTAGAAAAGACTGCAAGAAAAAATTCCTGCAAGGATGGGCCATTGGAGGTTGAGCCTGACATGAGGCTCCACAGGTTAAGGACTGGTCTAGAATACTGCCAGAGGTTCCACATTGATTCCAGAGGTGAACCACAGACCTCATCTGGCTCTCCTTTCCATCTCTACCCTGTTCCAAATGTCATGAACATGCCAGTCCAGAATTGGTAACCATCAATAGACTTAAATTTTACACTCAGTTGGATCAGCCCCATTCAGCCAACTCTGGATGAAACCAACTGAAATTTTGTTCACCTCCAAATAATGGTCACCTCCAAACCATGGCCTCTCTGAAGCAGTCAAAATAATTGACTTTACATCATTCACATAGTTATGTAATTGAGCTTATTCCACCATTTGCATTAACATTTGCAAATGACATCAATTTGTGTCATTGGCATAGCATCATTTATAAATGATGTAACTTCATATAAATGATATAATTACCACAATAACATAAAGATTCTGAGAGTTACTTTCATTGCATATATTCAGATCTAAAGACCTATTGCCTCCAACCATTATCGGACATCAAAGTTGTACTAAATCAATCCCATAAAAAGCGAAAAGAATTTGAGTGCTTGTTCTATTATTCATCATTAAGGTCACAATACCACTGTTTATATGGAGCTGTAGGAAGGGGCAAAAAGTATCAGCTCAATGGCACAATTTCAAATAGTGAAACTAGATACAAAACCCTACATATAGAGGAGCATTTTTAAAATTGTAATACTTTTCCCAGTTTCAAACTGTTTAGAAAAAAACTGTGTGAGAAATTTCCCATCCTCATTCCAGAAATCAAATTGCAACCATGACATGATTGTAAATTGAATGAATGACCCTTCCATTAAACTAAAAACATTTAATATTTCATCAGCAACAGAGATATTTAGCCACTTATTTCTAATTGGAATTTTACCTTTGTGATACAAATTTTTCAAAGACATTCCAGAATGATTTATGGCCCCAAGACCTAAAGGGAAGAAAGGCAAAAAAACACAAGATAATGAAAATCCTTCTATACACACTTAATGTTGTGCTTGTGCCTATGTAACTAAGTGTGAGAGAAAGATCAACACTTAGCCCAACACTGGGCTTGAGACAATCCTAGCCTCAAAGTTTCAAATTATTCTAGGGGCTTCTCAGCTTCCAACTTAACAGAGAATATTGTACCTGAAAATCTGCAACTGAGTTTTCAAGTACTGCAGAGAATAGAATACTTTAACTTTCTTGATGTGCTTAGTATATGGCTTGTATTGTGCTTGTTCTTAAACACTCTCACATAAACTGAAAATAGGATGTGCTCAGTTTTCCTTCTATGGTTTATACAGAGGAAAGGAAAGCATCATTGAGCAATACTATCGATTATATTTTTATCTAGAATTTTTAGGAAACTTTTGAGAAATTCCTTAACATCTAAATATAACATCTAAAAGAACCAACCTACTTTATCATGCCGCCGTTGTACACTTGTCATAATATCAGAATACTGCTTTTATAGTTTGATAGCATATATACTTTAATGAACACAACAGTGTCCCATACACACCTTGAGAGGACAGGAAGCACAAAGCCAAGGTATACAACCCCATCAAATTTGTATTTATGAAATGAGTCAAATGCTGATGACAGGACATACACCGAAGTCTTGCATATTTCTTAAAAACAAAGCCTTAAAAGCAAAGCTCTTTGCTTTCAGTGCTGAAGGTGCATCTTGCTTGGGGCAGAAACGCAGCGATACGGGGTTTTGATTCCGCAGTTTATGGTTGAGCTTTCTTGCTAATTATCCAAGCCTTGTGTCAGATTTTGAATACAGTACTCAAGCTTCAAGAAGGAAAATCTTGAAAAATTAAACACAAATTCCCCGAGAGGGAAAGACCGAGGCAGAGCTCCGTTTGCTTTGGGGCAGGGTCAAAGGACCCTGGCTGGGACCACAAGAAGGGAAGCTGGGGTCCCTGTCAGAGGCCCCGGGAAGGAGCTCGACAGGACGGGCTCCCTAGGCTCTCAGAGGACGCGCTTTTCGTTTCCAGGGGGAAATGGGGGGCGCTGGATCCCCACAAGGGAGCCGATCCCCCCCCCCGTTCCACCTCCACCCACTCACCCTCACTCCGACCTCTTCTGCTCCAAACAAAGCGCAACCCCTTCCGGTCACAGTCTTCCCTTCTTGCCGCTGCCGCCGGAAGTACTCTATGCTTCGTTCTCCAGCCGGGACGTCGACCGAAGTTCCCGGCTGTCAAGGTTGCCATAGTGACCACGAGTTTCTCTTCCTCTGCTTCCGCCCTCTTCACTTGAGGTAAATTCGACCAGAGTCGCGAACCAAGGGCGCCGGGAAAGTCAGCTTCGTCGGCCTCGTTACCGACTCCGGACTTTTTCGTGGCGGGAAACCTCTATAAGCGTAAGGCTCCGGCGGCTGATCCTGTTCCCTGCTGCTGGCGCTTCGGTTACGGTCTTTTTAAGAGAAAGCAATTCTTGCTACTCGCTTTTTGTCAGCGACCAAATCCAACGAGGGCAGACGGCGTCGTGATCACGATCGCGGAAGGACGAGCACGTGAAGTCATTGGGTGGACACGCGACTTTCATAAATTGGGGAAAAGATAACCGCCCAGTATTCCTGAGCTTTTAAAAAATTCTATCGGAGCCAGCCGTCGATGTCTATTAAAGGCACCTAACTCGAACTTGGGAAATCACCCCCACAAGCAAGTACATCCGTCGGGGGTTGGTTTTTATTTATGAACCAATTTTTACCAAACTCAAAAAGTATCAGTTATTTTTGGAAAGGAAGTCAGTTTTCCATGTGATGATCCTTCAAGGAAAATTTGTTACATTTCAGAGCATTAGTAAATTTGCAAGAAACTTGACAATCATGCTCTTTCCAAACCCCACATCATCTTCAGCCTGAATAATGTGTGAAATGTACTATATTGCAGGCATGCATTGGTAAGACTCAAAACTGACACAATTTTCTATGGATTTTTCTTACCTTCTAAAGTGGAAGTTTGCAATAAACAATTTAGATGCATTTTGGAAATCACTTAAGCTTTCTAAAACCATATTATACCCATACATTCTTTCTCAAGTGACATAGGCTTTGAAATTGATATGCAAAAATTGTGCTATAGAGCAAACTTCTAAGGAAATCTTAGTGTAACATCCAAGTAGACTTAGGTCAATTCTGCATTTGACTTCAGGTCACTTATGCAGTCTTTGTTTTCTAGCCACAATCACTCTTATAGTGGATATTACTTCCAGAGATATCAGGAACCTATTTACCAGAACTGTTTACTATAGTAATTGTTTTGAATACACTGTATGTGTAGGTATATCTTTTATGACTGTAAGCCAGTTATCTTGTAATATGGGCAGCCAATAAATTTTATAAATACTATAACCCATTAAATCAGGCCACGAAATAAGCAATGACACTCAATTTTCTAATCATACCACTTTTGAACAGTAAATAAATACAACCTATCTGTTCTGCAATGAATCACAACTCATTTGATCTTAGAAAAAAATATGGGGTAGATTTCATAGGTTCCAGAATATAAGAGAAGTCTTCTTCCTCTACTTTAGTACAGCATAAAAACACCCGCCCACCCAATAAATCACCCTAGGAACTTATATAGCTGAAAGTTGACACTTTTATGAAGAAATGGTGCTAGTTAGATTCTAAGCAGAATGCCTTTCCTTCAAAAGCTTCTTTTAAAAATCTGAATACCACAAGACTGTTTATCTTACTCTATTATACAATTATCAGAACTTGAAACATCAGCTGCATTATGTAGCATGGCTTACCAAACTGAGGAATACATCATGAATGAGAAAACCATAAATGAATTTTTCCAAAGTGAAACTTAAAATCATCTAGACACATTTGTGTCACCATATTTTCAAAATATTTTACTGAAAAATCAACATTGGAAAGAAAAAAAACATGTAGAATTCCCCCCAGAAGGGGTTTTTATTTGATACAGTTGCTACATCAAGCCACCAAGGACAAGATCAGTCCAGAATAGTAAAGCTCAGGGATGCCATCTTCAAAGGATCACTGCTCCCAGGCTTGAAAATGGAATCTCCTGAAGATAGGTCAGAGTCTTCTAGCAGCAGCAAAGAGAAAGCATTATCTGCAAGTCGGCTTCCCAAGGCTCCACCTTTCCATGCTGTTTTGCAGCTTCAGTAGCACTGTGAATGATGTCTACTTGGACCTCTGCCTCATCTTTCTCCTTTTGCGCTTCAGCCTAGAAAAAATAACATTAACTGAAAACCCTAAAGCAATATTTTAAAAGTTTAAGACTTAGGGCATTTCTATTAAAAATTGCAAAAATTGGAGATAGCATATAGATGAAGAAATTGAGATGTAGAACTTATATCTCCAGATCAATTTCTGATGAGCAGATTAAGACTGATCATTTCAGGAGACATCAAACAGAAATTCCAATAATCATAATTGGAATATTTAGTTTAATAACTATCTTTTCTGACAATACAATATGCTTCCACAACATAGAAAAAAAGCAAGTCCATTATACATTTCCAGAACATATACAGGTTGATTACTGATGCAGTTTTCTTGGTAGCATTACTGAAATGGAAATTCTCAGATGGTCCAATCCATATCAGCCAATGTCATATTTTTATTGATATTTATATAAATAAATATCAGTAAATACCAGAAGATATGAAAAATGTTTCATGGCAATTTTTATTTTTACCTATCCAAGAAACTATACTTCTATTAAATATTTAAAGCATTAAAAAACCAAACAACTAATCCTAACCCCTTAAAGTCTTCCACCTAAGATACATTAATAAACATTGCATGAAGTCTACTTGGGCACATTCTGCTTCTTTAGGCTATCAAGTCTTAAAACTCCTGAGTTTATGAAACAAAGATGTCCATTTGCTGGCCCTTAAAATGTTGAGTCTTAAGCTTTTAACCTGTGCAGACATATTGAATAGGTTATTCATTTAAAACAGAAACACGGTAATAAGAAACTGGATACAACAGGCACTACAGACAACTGTTTTGAAGTAATCCTTGTTTCTTGAATGTTGCTTTTAGCAGTCCCTACACTCTTAACCATTGCTTACTGTTACCAATCCAAGAATAGACCTTGCAATTCTAGTTAACTGTCTCCTATCAATAATGAGTTTTTACATTTGGATGCACAATAGTAAGAATCCTTGCTTCAAGATAGTCAGTTGCAATCCCAGGTACAGAGGAATATGAATTTGCACCAAGATAGGTTCATAGTTCAAGTCACCTAGTTTCTAAGTTCAACCATGAGCTTTGACATATCACCATTTAATTTTAAACAAGCCATGAATAAAATATGTTTCATTAGAGATTAAAAGTTAAGAACATCTAAATAGTCTTTTAGAGCAAACAGAAGTAAAAACATATGCTCACATACCTGCGCATTCGCTTCTTTCGCCACTAAAAATGGTGGAAGGAAAAAAAATCGCATTAGAATTTTGATTGCACCAATGATACAAAATTAAAAAAACATTCCAGTTACACATTTAAAATTATATTTTGCAAAATTTCACCAAGTTGTAAATCAATCGCTAATTGTAGAAATGAGCAAAAGCTGCACAAATTCAACATGAAAATGAAGAATTCTGTATTTAAATCAACATGGTGTGTATAGAGTATTACCCAATACATCTATACGTTTAGGTACATTATCTACAAAACCTCTTGAGCACTGCATGCTATTTATTGCAGAGCAAGAGTTACTTATATATCATAGCCATTCAGAAGTTAGTGATCAAGTGGGAAGGTATGAAAACGAAAAACCGAACCTCTCCATTTAAATGAAAGCTTTTTCAGACGAGTTCCCATGCTAAAGTATTTAGACAGCTTCAAAAAAAACCTCCATTGTTTTACTGTCATTCCCCCATGCTACATACGACACGCTCCCTCCCCCGCTTTTTAAAATCTTTAGTTTAAAGTAATCGAGGCCTCAATCCTGAGTTTAGTACAGAGGCTCAAAGCAAGCTTTATTCCGCCACAGCCATTCCATCAGTTATTCTCAGTTTTTGTTTCAAACCGTCCCTCCATCACCTAGCGTGAAGGCCCTTGCTTACTTCTTGGTCACCCATCGAAAGGAGTGTTGTGAAGTACACAAACTCAAATCCGACCTACATTTTCGGGGTCGAGACACAACTTACCTTAGCTCTCATAGTGGGGCGAGGCCCCTGCGGTCACTCCTTAGAAATAGACGGCAAGGCTACGGCTGGATGGCAACGGATGGACAAGACCGCGCCAACTACCATCAAGCGCCTCACAAACAAAATGGCGCCGTCGGCAAACAGCAGAAAGGCCTAGACAGAGCGTCGCTTGCTATTTATAGTTTGCTTGGGAGAGGGCGGGGCGATGTAAGTACGCGTTGCAAGATGGGAAATGTAGTTCGTGACTTATAAAGGTACTTGGGTTTTTTTTCTTCTGCATTTTCCGGTTAGGTCTGTATCGTTTTCCGCCATTTTGAATTTAAAGTTACTTTTACTCGAATTCTTGTCTAAATACCAAGACCTAATAGCCAAGCACAATTCATTCCCGGTAAAACAGCTTATGATTAAAAGTGAACAAATAGAACAGAATGAACTTTTCTTCCAGTAATGAATTGCTATGTATCCGGCACAATCTGCCCCTACTTGTGTACAGAAAGTACTTCCTGAAATACTTCAATTTAAATACCTACTTAATCGTAGAAATCATTACTGCCCTGCACAATAACAAACCGTGATTTTTTTTTAATTTGCAACCCTTATATTTTACAAATTATTGTATTTAATTAAAGAGAGAGTTAGAATTATTTACTAAATAATGACTCTTGGATTAGCAGACCCCATAAAATCCTCCGACGTAAAACCTACTAATTCAATATTACCAAAGTACTGTTTTAGATACTCAGCCTTCTTAAGTCCCAAGAACAGATAAAGCTGTTATTTTAAACAGGAGAATTGCACACATTGTTGACAAAAGAAGACCAGGAGTTATCAAAACTGTTTTAAGCCCTGATAAATATTATATTTTAAAAAAAATCTTCACATACTAAAGCTAAACTGTACACATTCACAATAGCATCCTATAGTGACTAATAACATAATTGGAAGGTACCTTGGAGGTCTTCTAGTCCAACCCTCTGCTGAAGCAGGAGACCCTACATCTTTCCAGATAAGTGACTGTTCAGTGATGAAGCACCCACAACTTCTGAAGGCAAGCCGTTCCACAGGTTAATTGTTCTCACTGTTGGGAATTTTCTTAGTTTTAGGTTATTTTTCTCCTTGATTAATTTCCATCCATTGTTTCCATCCATTGTCTTGCCTTCTGATGTTTTGGATAATAATTCAGAGAATTAAAAGGCCATGACCTTAATTAAAAGAATTATTGCTGTTACTAGCTTATTTAAAAAAAAACCATGAGAAAGTCACTTCATTTAAGAGATACAGGGTTTTAATGTGTGAAAAATCAACACGATACCTCAGCAATGATATTGGCTAATGGAGCTTGCATTCAAGTAAACAGAACCCTAAGGAAGACAGTAATATGGCAGATCTATCATCATGATCATCTCATCATCCACACTGACTAAACTCAGTTCTCCCCCAGACCTAAGTAGGTTGACAAGCAAAGTAGAGAGTGCTGTAGGAATGAATGTTGCTTGCACTATGTTGGATATTTGATACAATACTGTGCTTCAGGATCCAAGCTTGAATAGGGCCATACTACTCGCTCTAGCCAAACCAAGAGCCTCAATGCAATCTAGCCCTGAGCTAGAGGGAAGCTTGTAAGCAACTTCAATGCAGGTGGCTGCTATTAACTGATCTTGCTATTCTGAATGCATATTAATATGATTTTGGTATTTGTACCCTTCTTTTTCTCTGATGTAAGAGTTTCTCCCCAACACAATTGGTTGGGCCGACTGAGGGATCCAAAAGCCTGCTTAATTCCATGGGTAATTAGAAACTTGCCCCTGACCATGGTGACTTGCCCACTAGAGATATCACCAAGGTATAGACTCAGAACCACACACATATCCCCAGTTTTATTTTGCAAAATTTCTCAGCTTCAATAAGTTCCTTATCCACAGAACTTCTAAATGCCGTAAATACAATAGTTGGGAGCTTATTCACTAAGCACCTTTGCAATCCTACAAGTACTTGAACTGAGTGGTTGTTCCTTACTTTTGCAAGTGGTTATATTGAATTAGCTCGATTTTGGGGAGAAGTTCACACATTACATTAAAACAAATGATAACCCATGGGCTGGGTTTGAGCAGGAAAGCCTGGTTTGTTTTGTTATAGTTCAAACAAACAAATTAGGTCTTTCAAATCATATCACAAGTCATGGCTCAACCTGGAATCAGAATTCAGATATTGAATATATGCAGTATCAAATACTGGGCTAGACTCCATCTGAGTTTAAATCACTACTCATGAAGCTTACTGGGAAAATGGATTAATGTGCTACTGGTATATTATGGCTTAAAATGGCGGAGTCAACAGAAGACTCTGAAATCCAAACTACAATGTGAATCCAGTCAATAATTTGATCAGTTATATCACAGGGTTATTGCAAAAATGAATCAGAGGGAAGAAATATTAGCTTGTGAAATGAGAGAAATATAATAACTAAAGCCTAGTGGCCCCATTGATTTTAGGCCATGTAAAAAAGCTCAATATTAAGATATAGTATCCGCCTTGTACAACCAGAGATGGAAAGGAGCAAATAAATAACATAGCTCATTGGGTTGAAGCCCAATTACAATGAAGTGCTTTATTGAAATCTACATTTCTAGTACAGGGCAGTCAAAAAGAGCTTGAAAATATTATTACTAAACCTAGTGATCATAACACTGATATTCAAGACAGACACAGTAAGGTTGGCTGATAACCCAAAACAGAATTCATGTTGGAAGCTTCCCAATTTCCTGTATAGAAACCAGTCAGTAATTAAATTACATTCTATTCAAGACTCATAAAGGCACTTTAAAAGTTAGAAACAGATTCCCAACAGGTCTTCATCTGACCTGCATTAAAACCAAATTGAACAGCTCTATGGTGCATTGAATTCAACTGTGCTGTGAAGCCCTTTGGTTGGAATCGTGAAAAATAAAGACCAGCAGGAACAATACAAGCTGTCAAAGAAATAGGCTACTTCCTTAAACATTGGCAGTTATTAGAAGTTTTAAGTAGCCACTTACCAATACATTTGTGTAAATAACTGGTCAGTCATCATGTGTGATTTTGTGCACTGCAACACTTAACCGAATTTATAGCATGGGACTAAAATGATTTCTTTCCATTAGTTAAGTTAAAGTTGGCATTGCTTTTTTCTAGGATTAGTAGCTACTGACTAGCTGATCTTATGGTAGAAATGTAAGACACATCTTGAGTTCTATTGTTGATGTATGGCAAAACGTATGACCAGGACCAAGAATTTTGTTGCAAACAGAATTAAAAGATTGCTTTTTTCTCCACCACCACCCCAAAAAGGGGGGGAAGTATTAGAAAATGATTTTTTTTTTTAATAGGAGGAAAATAAACTTATTTTCTTAAATGCACTGTAGAATATTCAATGTATCAAGCATAATGCTTGAATAAGAAACCTAGCACTACAGAACTTCAGATGTTCAAAAATGGGAAGAATCTAGTAGGTAGTAATAGTTAAGAGTAATCAACTCTTCATGTTTTCAGTTATTTAAGTGCATAAAAGCAGACATTTCTTCAAGTACATTTCAAATTTCAGACTCCTCCACCCTTCAACATAGCAGACCCATTAATCTATCCATGGGTATCACTAATCAATTTTATTTGAAAAAAAAAGTTACAGAACAGTTTGTGGGAATTTTCTTCCAAAATTTCCAACTGCATTTTTTTAAAAAACAAGAGATACAATTGCTTTATAGTTTTTCAAAAGAAAGATGGAAAATTAAATAAACTGCAACCTTAGTGGTTTATAAACTGGTAATTGTGGCTGAACCATAAAGGAAGGGAAATAAGAAAACATTACTTATAAATGCTAAAATGCTCCTTGTTAGGAACAAATGGTATCCCCCACCATCCACCCCGCCTCCCTTAAATTCACAATTGGGAGCAGTTTAGAATTAAATTGGCAGTTCATTGCAAGTCTTGTGCATGATCCTCTCCAAACTCATTACTTCTGTATGATTCAATCTCCACTCAACATATTCCCCATTGTACTTTCCAAAATCAGCATTGAAAGTAATCCTTATAAAAGCAGGCAAGAACTCTACAAACTTAAAGTAGTTTACAGAGATTGACAAAAAGAGAAAAAAAAAGAAACCAGAAAAAAGACACATCTAAAATTCATTTGATGGTCTTAAACTTTGGTAGTAACTGAGACTGTTAAATGCTAAAGTCCAGGTATATTGGGCAGAAGGGTATTGCGTGCCATTCAGCACAAAACAGTTTTATAGAAATCCATTCAGCTATATTAAGGGCGTGGACAAGAACCTGGTTTGGAATAACATAAGAAAAAAAAAACATCCCACACAATCATATACAATTGAAATGGACAATTTAGAAAGACATACTATAAAAAATTCTCACAAATGGTGTCAATTCCAGGTCCGACCAATTCTGTAGCATACCATTCATTCATGTAAAAATTATAGAGAGGAATTCTTCTGAAAAATCCTGTTTTAGGTATCATGCACATCAATACAGTGAAAGGTTTTAGTAATGAAAAGGCAATGTGTGTAGGGTAAGTAAATGCAAATGCACAAAAAATGTAAAAAAAAAAACATTAAAGAGCTCCCATTAAATCGGGTTTTATTACTTCTGGAGCCTGGAAAGGATTTTTGGAGGTGGTTAATTAACCTATTTTTGTTCTGGGATGATAATTTAAACCAACAGTAGTATATAACCAAATGAAAAATAATTCTGAAGACACACAATGACACTGCCTAGAGGGACAAAATAATCTTCAAAGAGCCTGTCTGCAAAAATTAAAATATCTTGTTGGGGTTTGTAAAAAAAAGACTCCCCTCCTTAGTAACTTAAGAAACAATCTAGAGACGTTTAAGAGGGGGAAACTGCCTAAACACTGAAAAAGCAGTGACGTGCAAGTTATACTAGCTGCATGTAATACAATTCTAAAGTCAGGAATTGAGTTTTTGCATGTATAATTAGTTGCAAAAATGTCAAAGGATTTTTCAGAAGAGTTAAAGTACCTTTAAGAGGGAAGGAGAGAGAGGTGGAGCCAGAAGAAAGCTCCTGCTCTTGCTGAGAAGTGCGTTTGCTCACTTCTAAGGAGCACAAGTAGTATCAAATGCTAGAAAGAGTGAATGTAGACTGTTTTTTTACTCCTGATTTTA